GCATCTACTCATCCCGGAATTTACAAAATGTTAATTAGTATAAATTCTCCTTTTCTGTATTTATTCTTCTCATTTATGTGTTCGCTTTTTGGAAAAGAAAACTTGTGAGCACAACACGTAAGTATTTCAGCTATGGTGGACCTAACAGCTGTAAAGTACGACGGACAACTCCAACTCCGAATATGATTCACTTTTGTTCGAATCTAGGTGCAATAGTGGCATGGATTGATGGACGCGGATCTTCTAATCGAGGTCTTACAACTCTTTACTTAAAAATTCAGGGGAAGTCGTTGCAATGTCTATTATAGAGGTTTATACAAAATTTTAGGTTGGAACGTGAAAGCCCCTGTGTACAAGGCTCTTGGTCAGCTCGAGACAACTGACACGATAGATGCAGTGAAGTTTGTTGACTAATGATATCTTGCATCTCGTGTTCGACAATTTTGAGATAAATTGCAGATATCTCACCTCGAAGTACACATTCATTGACAAAGACAAGGTGGCTGTTTTTGGCTGGGTAAGTTACAACTCTGAAACACAAATAAGCAACAAAGACTTGAAGAAACCCTACCCTTGAATTTTAGTCTTATGGGGGCTTCTTGAGCACTCACATAGCTATTCGTGATCAAGGCCAAACGCTCAGATGTGCTGTTGCTGTAGCACCTGTTGTTGATTTCAAGCTTTACGGTTGGTAACGTGAAAGTAGACATTTGCAAACCCTCTGTTTGTATTTTTAATTTAGATAGTGCTTATACGGAAAGGTATCTCGGCATTCCATTGGAAAATCCATCAGGATACAATGTAAGTTTTGAAAGTGGTAGAGGTATATTTAAAGTGATACTATCGTTGCCACATTTAATCTTTGAAAGGGTGGACATATCTAAGTTGCGTAGTGTGGATGTTGCAAAACACGCCTCATTTCAGGTTAGCCAATTACTCAACAAAGCTGGTCTCCTCAAAAATGTAAAGTATCTGCTTGCTCACGGAGAAGCCGATGGTCGGTTCTTCATTCTACCTTACTTGTTTACCCATCTTTGGATGGAACTCCCTAGAGGTTTACATAGCAACTTTCATTCAGATAACGTGCATTTCCAAAATAGCGCCCTTCTTGCGGAAACTCTACAAGCCGAACTTGTTCATTTCACGCAATTAGTGAGTTTTCACGGAATGAGAGAAAATTTGCTAAATCATAACGTTACAGGTGTATAGTAATCAGGACCATAGTATGGGCTCTCGACAGGCCCATTTATTCATGGAAATTGGACGATTTCTTTCTGAGGAATGCTTTAGCGAGAACTGACCGGAAATTTGCTGGTCATTCGCTCATTCTACGGGCTTTTACGCAATGTATATCTCCTTTTCATAAGTACAAGGCTTTGTTTGAATGCTTTGTTCTAGATCACATATCCGCATTACTTCATAAAATGTTCTTCTCGTTTTTTTGTGTCATTTTATAGTGGTAACATTTGTATTAGGGAAAACTAAACAAATGGTAATTTGCTTTGTACATGTGCTTTATGTTTTGTGGCGATTCTCATTCAGTACTGATTTCTTTTCCCTATTTTGACAATTGCATTGCGCATTTTTTTGTTTTTAGTGAACTCTTTGTAGTTCTCCCACCATCCCTCGTTATTGTGATTTCATTGGCGACAGCTTAATAAAATTTTTGAAATATAGTATTACAATGAGATAGATTGACTGAGAACAGGTCAGTTGACCACATCAAGTCATCCGCAGACACGTTAGAGACTTGCATCACCAAAATCAGCGCCTTATGACATTGTACATTGTACATTGTACATGTAATGGCTGGGTGCATTAAAGTATGACGGTCCTGGAAATAAAGTTATAGTAACGCATGATTTCACCATTGTCTATTAGAGTTATGTATTACTCAACGCCAATATCATCTGCGCCTTATCTCAAAATTCAAAATTTTTTAGAAATTATAGCTCATATTACTGATTATCAAACCCAGCCCCTAACGTTGCTTTTCTTTCGAACTTCTCTTGTTCTGCTCATTTCTGCATCCCCTCCTTTTTTAAAAAACTTCTGCAAACCTTCACTACCAATAGTTTTTGTCCTAAAATTACAATTGGAAGCCATTTAATTTCGTACATTGAATTTTAAACTTCAGGTGGCCAAGAAGCCGAATGTTAAATGGACTATTCGTGAGGTACACATGCTCAATACCCACGCATTATAAATACGTAAATGCTGTCATGGAATGCATGAACAGCTAACTCATGATCTGCGATTAGTTTAGCTCAAGAGAACCTCAAAATTCGGTACAGCAATTTTGTGCACGACTGGATGTTTTATGAGCTCACCGTGTAGTCGTAAAATTTGGAATGAGTTGGCTACGAATAGGGGCCAATAAAAACTTAGCATGTGGAGCCGGTACTGAGTAACATAGATTTTTTGGCAACATTACATTTCTTAATTTCAGGGGTCCTTGTCAAAATCTATACGTCCGCAAACGAGGTGTTTAAAGATTAGTTAAGCAATAGATATTTTTGTTTTCGCAGCCATCCTTTCGCTAACGTCGTAGAAGAACCGAAATAATGAAATTAGCAGTGTTTTTGTCATTAATGACGCGATCCCATCCATCGCAGCTGCTTCAGCAGTTGCTTTCAGAAGTGTAGAGGAACAAAAAAGCAAAAATGTATGTTATTTCATTACAAAATCGCAATTATACTCTTGTTCAATTCATACTAATAGTCACGCTTGTCTAGCAAGACTTGCTGTAAACTATTATGTGAGTTGACTGCAATCTCTTTAAAGACGCTAACTGATGATTTCCATTTGTCCCCCAAGCCAGTTATTCAAATGTCTGTTAAAAGTAGCTTATAAGCTGTACTTGGTGACTACCGCCTTATAGCGAATAAACACAAGTGATTTATTTCGCAACTCCAAAATTATGCACTTAGATATGTGGACAACTATGTTATAAGAAACAAAATGCATAAATCCCGTATCATTTTTTTGCAAAAAAAGCGAACAGAAAGATCAGCTGAATGTAGTAATACCTAAAAAAATACACTACATAGCTCAAAAAATTATTCAAAATTAGCAAATTTGTTTTTTCTTCTTGTCTCTTTGATTCAGTAATGGATTGTAATTCCAATAGCACAAAACTGATGCAAAAAAAAGTTATTATTTACTAGTAGCTGTTTCGAGCAGCCGTGCTTGTCCCACTGCTAGCTAACAATGGGCAGCCGCTCTCAAGTGCTTTCTTAAAGAAAGCGATGATGTTTACATGTTGTGATTTGTTAATGAAAACTTTGTAAAGTTTCTCCAACGAGAAACGAACCATGACATCCGAAGAAACAAGATTTTCCTTTATATATCATCTTTCACATCAGGCATTTCAATGCAATTTTAACTTTTCTCCATTTTTTAATGTCCATCTCATTCTATTCTTCACTGTTTTTCATTTGAAATATTGTTGGCTGTCCATCTTGTGTACCTCATCATGTGGGATCCCTTTAATTGAATCCGCGCCAGTTTTACAGCACTTCATAAAAAATGGGCTCGCACAGAAAGCAGCTTTCATTTTATCTAAATTTTGAATAAAATAACGAACAACAGATGGGTTTAAAAAGTGGTTTTGCAACAGCTTCTTGGAAATGTCACATTTCCAGTAAATTGTCTCCCAATGACAAATTCAATGAAGGTGACAAAGTGTCCTCCGAATTGAGCCGCATTACACTCGAACAAGAAACCTAAAACCTGGCAGCACTATCTGTTGCATAAATTGTTCTGTTATAACATTATTTGTCACTTTATGGGAAAAAAATTACACACATGCAGTGCAAACTGTCATTTGCATAAGCCAATGCAAACCATGAGAAAATGGCCTCACCGGGGATTTGCGCAAGTCTCATGAGGTGCAGAGTTCTATGGTTGTT